GATTTATACTGGTTCGGGCCCCCAAGAAGTGAGTAAAAGTTGTACGTCCAGTTGCTACTTGTTTCTATTAGGATCTCGTCGAATAACGAGATGGCGATTACAAGATGGCTATGCCTATAAGAGTTTCGATGATCTCCTAGCCTATCGACCCCGCTATTTATATTCGGGATAACTTGAGGTACAAGACATAACAACATAAACCTATTAGGACTATATCTCATGTCTTCAGGCTTTCCTTCCTTGAATAGGCCGCCGTATCCTGCTTGGACTCCTTTAGCTGAAAGTCGGTAGTTGGAAATCCGATAGTCGGGATACCCAGGGATATGGCATCGTCAAGGAGCCTTTGCCAACTCATCATCTTCTTCATGACTTTCACTGACAGTGGCCACTGGTTCCTGAGCTGGTGGTGCCGAAGCCCTAGCTCGGGCTGTACCTGCCTTGGAGGACTCGGGGTCTTTGGGCGTCTCCTTCGGCTTCGGGGTAGCCGGAGTCGTTGTTGCCACTGCAGTTGTCTTCTGTTGCTTGGCTGGTGGATTCTTTGGGTCAACCAGGACCTGTGATATACTGCCTGATCATGTCCAGGGTTTTCATGTTACATGCGATGGTGCCCTTGCGGTCACCACGTATAGTCATTGGGCCGCGAGGGCTGGGTACTTTGAGTATCGAATAGGCAAAATAGGCGACTGCCATGAACTTCTTCATGAACGGTCTCCCCGAAATGCAGTTATACGCCAAATCGAAGTCTGCCACCTCGAATGTGAGGAATTCAGACTTAGTGTTCTCGCCTTCTCTGAGGGTAACTTGTAGGTCAATTCTCCCGAGGGGGTATGCTGACATGCGGGGCATTATCCCGTAGAAGGGCTCTTTGACCAGAAGGAGGTGCTTTTCTGGGCAATCCTAGGTTGTCATATGCGTTGGTGGAGAGGAGGTTGAGGCCACTGCCACTGTCAATTAAGGTTTGATTGACCTTGTAGTTCCCGATGTAGGGCTTTACGATCAGCGGGAGCAACGAACCGTCGTACAAATTTAAGGGATGGTCCCCAATATCAAATTGGATCAGCACCTCTGACCATCTAAGCTTTTTGTCCGAGGCCTGGGTGTTGTTCACTTGACGCTCGACCTGCTTTAACTTGGTCTTGGAGGCTGGTGTGGTCATGCCGCCATAGATTATGGTGATATGGTTTTCCCCTAAGGCGATCAGATCATCGTCGTTATGGGGGTCAGCTCGGTGTCGGGGTGGCTCTTGCCTGACCGGCCCCTCGGGGTGGCTCCTGAAGTTTATATGCTTGTTCATTTATATCATGTGTGATAAGATCATAAGATTGAGCATGAATGTAGTATTTAAATACATTTGGCAAAAAGTGTTGAGTTGCTTATCCATAATTTATCAATCTTTACATGATTATGACTATCATTTTCTAGAGATAAGATGTACACTTTTAACTTATTTGGTTAAGCCTATGGGCTTAAGAAAGTGGTGCTAGGAACAAACTTAAAGAACTAAACATGTTGAGTTAATCAGATTGGATTAAGGAAGTGTAACTCAAACATGTTTGTTTCTTATTTATGTGCGTACTAGAATCAAGGAAAAGCTTTTTAAATAACGACCATTTACCTTAGGATGCTACCTTTGTCATTAGAGCGTGATGACACCATGTGACGGAGAGTAGACGACTCATCATGGTCCTTTCCTTTTGCGTGAACTTTTCCTTGTTCGGCTAGCCTCACAACTTGAACTGTTCATGAGCTTCTTGTCTCCTAGATTGCACCCTTTCTTTCTTATGATTTTGTCATGCCATCTTTTTGCTCTTCATTCTTTCGCTCCACTCATTGTTTTATGCCTCAAACCTTGATTTGTTTCCACAAATGATCTCATGTTAGTGAGGGCTTTTTAGGTCCGTTGATCAAGACTTCTCCTTGCATTTAGCTTGTATGTGCACCATCTGATCTAGGAGATGAGGACAGATACTTGTTCTTCTCCCATCAACCCTTCTTGATTTCCGTTGATTCATGGTTGATGAGGTGATGTTCATTGGAGCTGCAGACTCGAGTTCTTCCATGATGGTCCTTGTCCATTTTGTGATAATGGCCGTTCACAACCTCATGAGATACCATTGACAGACCTCCATTAATATGATATTTGTTAACACGAGGATGCATGTCATAATGTAGTGGCATCTCATCAGCTTGGTCCTTGCTGGTGTCATACAAGATGGTGTCATCAAGGATAATGAAAGTAGGCATCAATTTGGCTAGGTGAGTTGCATCCTGCTCATCATTATCATCCTTGCTTGAGTCTTGGGGAGCTCAATGCTAGGTTGTTTTCGACATTGCTTGTGTCTTCTTTGTGCAAAGTTATTGGAGTTCATCATGTGTCTTGCTTCATCTCTGATTTGAATTCATCTTGTGACTTACCCAAATTGAATTTGAGAGCTTCCTACATGGGTTAGTCTACAGATACAACCGAATTTTATACAAGCATGTTTTGATCCAGTAATCATGTTCAATTAATACTCCAAATCAAAACATACTAGTGTAGAAAGGTAGCATGAGTGAGTAAAGAGATTCATTCAATTAGAGAGGAAAGATAATGATTGTTATTTAGCAAATTGAGCATGGCTTAAAGGCAGACACAACCAAGATTAGCAACATGGCATAAGATTTTTTTCAGAGAAGTTCATCCCCCAGAAGTGCTTATTTTAGGACAAAAGCTCGTCCTTAGGAAACCTTCTAATGTACCTCATGTTGGTGAAGTGGTTTCCCCTCCAATGCCAATCTTTATGTGCCTATCTCAAGATTTACACAACGAGATATGCAATATTTATGATAAACAAACACATCTACAACCACTCTTTCGAAGTTTTTATGAATAGGAAGTATGAGGGGGTTGAAGATATCATGTGTGGTGATGTTATTGAGACCAGTTGATTTAGGAGATTTCTCTTATGAGCATGGATTTAATGAGGTGTTCATGAAGTAGCTTCCATGCTCATCGATTTCATCTTCCTTCTCTAGTTGATCTTGTCTAAGGCCTCCTCCAAACTTGGATGAGTCATGTTTATTAAGAAGATTGACTTAATTTTTCTCAAAAATGCAGGAGAGCTACGCTTCATTATATTAAGAAGAAATAGGGGGTACAGAACCCTTATTACAACACATCCACATACCCTTGTCAATATCTCATAAGATACATTTGCACTAGTAAAGAAAGAAAAAACGACCCTGCACCTACAACAAATCAACTAACAGCTTGGGTGGGGGCAGTCAAGTGGGATAGCCCATGAGCCCCTGCCATTGTTCATCGTGGACGCTCATCACCGGCCAACTTCAAGGTTTTAGCTATGTTAGGAGTTACTCCATCAAAGACACAGCTATTGCGATGAGTCCAAATTATCCATGCTCCTAGAACTGTTAGGGAGTTCAAACCTTTTTGTGTTAAACTAGAAGTTGCTACACTTGCTTTTTCCCACCAATCATCGAATGAAGTGTTAGATAGTTGTGGAGCTAGAGAGTGGAGACCGACCTGTCTCAATATATAGTAGCCTTGAAAATATACATTTGATTAGGAGATGATCAATGCTTTCGTCGGCTTGATCACAAAGTGGACACTTCTCAGGATGAGGCAGTCCTCGTTGTGCAAGATGATCTGAGGTCTAGCAGCGCTTGTGTGCTACAGCAATAGGAAGAATAGGCATTTAGCTGGCACCCAAGTTTTCCAAATTCTTTCCCATGGTCTAAAAAGAATTTTCCCCATGGATAAGCTATCATATGCGGCTTTGGCCGAGTACTGTCCACTATTTGATAATTTCCAAATGTGATAGTCCTCCACCTCAGGCTGTAACTCAAAATCATAGAGGATGTCCCAAAATAGGAAATACTCCATGATGACCACCACTGTGAAAGCACCTTGGATGTCCGAGACCCAAGTCCAGTTGGTTAGAGCCTGCTGCATAGTAGCCAACTTTCTCTTTCTCTATGGAATCACAGCAAAGAGTCCAGGCGTGAGATCCTTAATGCAGTGCCCATGAAGCCACCTATCAGTCTAGAACAAAGTATTCTCGCCATTGCCAACATCTAAGATAATTGGCATTGAACAAAGCTTCTGACCTAAACAGGTACCTGTATAGACAGTGCAGACCAAGGGCGGTGTGGCTCCTTTTTTCTATAACAAAAGCCATCTTGCGCATAATGCCTAACCAAGATTTCTGAGATTGGAAATACCCAAACCACCCAGTTTAGTTGGAGAGCAAGCTATCTCCCATGCCACGAGACAATGTCCTCCATGTGCTTGCTTGCGCCCTCTCCACATATAGCTTCTCCGAATTTTGTCAATATCTTTAATGACCCATTGAGGCAAATCAATGGCCATCACAAGATTGATGAGCATCGCAGTAACAACAAACTGCACATGGATTCACCTCCCAGATTGACTTAATCTCACCCTTTGGATCAGGTTTGGGTTCTATCCTTAATGATTCAGCCTTGTCAATCCATTCTTTACTAGCAACGACACATGAATTCTTAATATCCTTCAGCCATTGTCGTTACTCTTCTTGGTCTTCCTTGTGGCATTCATGACTCCTATGCTTTGGTTGTCTTAGTGGATTCCTAGGATCATCATGAGACTCAGGAAAAAGATATCAGGGGATTCATCGGGGTCAAGGATGGGTTTAGAGATGGGTTCAAAACTTATATCGGTTGTGGGCATAGAAGGGGAGAAGATAGGATTGGCTTCAAAATGACTCAGCTCCCCTACTATGGCATCACTTGTTATTCCATCGTTGCATGTTTCTAGATGTTCCCCATAGGAATTTGATTTAGGACGCTTTCTAAGAGATCCCTTCTTGAGGGGATTTGAATTATACTCGCTCGAAGGTCTCTTATAAAAATTTAAGAGTTAAATGCATGGGTGGTCTATCAACTTGCGCTCTAGTTTCACTTAGGTCCATCAACTCTAAAAGTGGGTTTTTGGGTCCATAATCTTTGTTAGTGGTGTATTCCTAGCCCATACCCCTTTGTTTCAAATTTTTAACCGACGTGGTTGTCCATCGTGGCGTCCAGGTTGGATTTGGTGGGAGAGCGTCGGCTGCCCAGTCCATGCTGTTGGCCTCGGGGAGTCCTAGCTTCTTGAGCACCTCCTGCAGCTCGGCGGTGGAGATGAAGCCATTGCCGTCGACGTCGAAGACCTTGAATGCCTCCCGCATCTCCTGCTTGTCCTCCTCGCCGCCCTTGCTGTCGTCCGCCCTGGTGGCGGCGGCGGTGTCCTGCTGGTCCACGAGCGTGCCGAAGAAGGCGTCCCCGAGCACATGGTGGAGCTTGTCAATGTCCTCAAAGCAAAGGACCACGGCGCCGTCGGGCACATAGGCACCAACGGTGGCGGCCAGGACGGCGTGGTCGGCATCCAAGCCCAGCCATCTAGCGCCTGCGCCTGCTCGTCCACCATGATCTCGTCGTCCCTATTGTAGTCGAACACGCTTTGTAGGCGCACCGCGTTCAGGCTCCCGTTGTGGAGCCAGAACGACACTGACAACAGCGTCCCCTTCGCTAGCGTCGGCTTCACCACCACCACCATGCCCTGGTTCGTGTCCATCATTCAAGCTCAAGGTTGACCTTGGCGTATAGATTCTCTCGCTCGCCCCTGCTGGTGTCCTTCAGCGGAGCCGTGCTCTAGCTGCCCTGCGTTCTCTTCTCTCCTTTAATTTGTGTAGTGTCAAAATTGCTTCTTTTATTTTGGGAGGAGCACAAGGACAGCGCTGGCTGTTTATAGCAGGGACAGGGACTAGCAAGGGGAGACAACAGGGGACGACCAGATGGAGGAGCAACAGCCAATCACCCACCGTTGCTGGCTTTGTCTACTGCTGTTGCTGTGGCTTGGTTGGCCAGCGGAGCTTGTGGGCGAGCACGTAGGCGGCAAGCATGAGGGCCAGGGCAAGGTCACCAAGCCAGACGGCCGTGGCCATGCCCCGGACACCCATCCTGGTAGAGAGCGACATGGTGAGTGGGATGTGAAGCGCCAGCACCAGCACGGCGGCGAACAGCGTGGGCAGCGTCACCTCCTGCGCACTAAGGTAGGACATGAGAGGGTTGAGCACGGAGGTGATGGCGAGGTATAGGAGGAGGCAGAGCATGTAGGTCCTAGCCATGTCCGTGATGTCGGGCTGCTGGCCGAACCGCAACAGGATGGCATCAACGCGCATCTAGAGGAGCGCGATGGGTACGGAGGCAGCGAGGAGCATGATCGTGGCCTTGAGCAGCGTCCCGCATAGTAGGGCGACGTTGCTGGCGCCGTGCGCCTGGCCGTAGATGGGCTCTATGGCACCGCAGAGGCCGCTGAGGACGGCGAAGCCAGTGACGTTGGCGAAGCTGTAGCCAAGCGTGCCGGTGGCCAGCTAGAGGTCACCGAGGCGGCCCAGGAAGGCTGTGGTGATGGCCTGCTTGGCAAACCAGGTGAGGTTCATGCCGTTGGCATCCTTCTAGCTCCACAACAGGACCCTGAACGCGGTGCACCTCCGCTGTGTGTTCGACCTGTATGACCACAACGGGGATGGCGAGACCACGGTGGATGAGCTAGGGCTGGTGCTAGACGCGCTGGGCCTGGACATCGACCGTGCCAGCCTGGCCGCCACCGTCGACGCCTATGTGCCCGAAGGCACCACGGGCCTCCGCTTCCAGAACTTCGACAAGCTCCACTGCGCGCTCAGCGGACGGCAGCAAGGGCGGCGAGGAGGACGAGCAGGAGATACGGGAGGCGTTCAAGGTCTTCGACATCGATGTCGACGGCTTCATCTCCACCGTCGAGCTGCAGGAAGTGCTCAAGAAGCTGGGACTCCCCGAGGCCAGCAGCATGGACTAGGTGGCCGATGCTCTCCAACCAAATCCATCCTGGATGCCATGATGGACAACCACATCGGTTAAAAATTTTAAACAAAGAGGTATGAGCTATGAATACGCCACTAACAAAGATTATGGACCCAAAAACCCACTTTCAGAGTTGATGGACCTAAGTGAAACTACAGCGCAAGTTGATGGTCCACCCATGCATTTAACTCAAAATTTAATGTACTCCCAAAATTTGCATCAAAGAGGTCATCCTTAATTTCAAAAGGGATTTCCAAATATTGAATTTCTTCTTCCTTTAGTGGATTTAGATTTTGGGGTGTTGATGGTTCAAGATTGATAACTAAATCTTGGGGTTGGAGTGTAACACCCTAGTGTTAAGCATTGCATTTGGCACTTGCATTTCATGAGCACAAGCATCATCCAAGCATTCATGAGCATGAGCATAAGCATACAGAATTTCATTTTATTCTTTACATATTATCACATGTGATGTTGATTATATACATGCATATGCTTGTAATCATGTGTGACCAATGCAAGAGATGGTTATAAGGTCACAAAAACACCTTAGACATGTCTAGGATGGTAAATGGAACAATGTTTGTATTCATGACATTGGCCAAATTTGCTTCTAAGTCCTAGTTTACTCATAATGTCATTTTTCATGTTACTACTTTCACTACAGTTGAACTATAGCATAGATTGTTTGAATGGCAATGCACCCTTAACAAAAGTTGTAACTTATCTTATGTGGAACAAACTTTGTTTAAGGGTCATGAGCTAATTCGGTATCTAACATGGTCCAATAGGGCTCACAAGAATCAACTTAATGCTGTTTTGAAACTCAAATTTGTTTGTCTAAAGCTGATTTCTAGTTTCCTTGTAGCTAACTTTGGTGATTTCAATTTGCAAACCATTGGGAATTAGACAAAACTTCCTTAAGCAAACTTGTAGTACTCATGTAGCTCTACAAAATGGTGAAATTGGTTTACCAAAAACGCTGCACGGATTAGGAGTTGTGGTGGAGAAAAAAATCGAGTTTCAGGCGGTTTCATCCGAACTGAAACCGGCCTTGCCACGCGCGTCGTGTCTGACCAGCGTAGGCCGCGCACACTGTGTGGTGGTTGTACGCTAGCACCAGCCCACCCTGCCATGCCACAAAGGCGAGCACTCAGTCGCCCTCGCTCTTATGCGTCATTCACTGTCTTACCCTTTCCATCTCGCTCGCGTGTGGCTCCAAAGCAGAGCAAAGCACAACGCCGCTGCCACCGCGTCGTCACCGACCAAGCGTGTCACCACTGCCGCACCATCACCCAATCCACCTCACATGTAGCTCCGCTATGATCTACTCCACCTTCCCGAGCAGCTAGCGCCACTAGACAAGCACAATTGAGACCACATTGCCATGCCACCATCGCCACTATGGTCGCGGTGCGCCACCGAGCATGGCTCGCCGGTGGCCAGCCACCAGTAGTGCCTCTTCTACCTCCCTCACCCTTGGTTGTGCATCGCCATAGGTCAAAGATGCTATGACCGTAGCTGGCTTAACTGCTACCGCGGCCATCACGTGGGAACGCGCGATGTAGCCGTACGCGTCCACCATGGTCGCAAGCACGCGCTCGCCATGGCTGACCCTAGCTAGACCCTATCGTCCCCCTCTAGCGTGTGTTTTCGCAATGCCATGAACCCTAGCACCTAAAGACAAAGACCTATCACTGACCGCCATCTCGTTGGAACGGTGACCTCAACGTCACCGCGCTCATGCCGCCGTGCCACCATGCACGTGGCCGAAGCACACCGCCGCTTCACAATGCTCTAGACCTAACCCTAGAGCTCAGCTAGGACTCCCTAATGTTGTAGCATCGCTCACCTAGCCATGTCATTGTCGAAGATGATGATCCCACTGCCGAGCACCTTCATCGTGCCGCCATTATCGCCGATGAGGTTGCTCCGGTGAATCGTTGAGCCAACCAAGGGCACCAGTCGACGCGAGATGTCGAGTAGGTCACGATGGTGAAGACGCTACCGTCGGTGAGCTTGCCATCGCCGAGCTTTGGCCGGTCAGCACCATCCTCAGCTCTTGTCTCACTCTCGCATGGGCCCGTTGACCCGCGGGGCCCAGCTGTCAGTTAGGGTTTTCAATTTTTTCTTTATTTATTTTTCTAAATTTTGTTGCAAACTTCAAAAATTCATAACTAGAGCTAGGAATGTCCGAATTGAGTGAACCAAATTTTGTTGGGTTCATCATGAAGTGTAATATTTGATAAAAATATGAAACCTACTATTTTGGATATTTTTTTGGGGGACTTAAATTGAGCTAATTCAGTGCTTTTAAAATAGTTTCTATCTTGTAAAATGCATATCTTGAGCCAGGGAAGTGCAAAAATTGTAATTCCAATTTTTCTGGTCTTGTGTTGACATGCTCTAGCTAGGAAAAATACTAAACCTCTAGTAGGCATACTTGGAATATGGTCTTCCTATTTAATCTTATATAATTGCTTGTTTCTAGTGAAAATAAATGGGGTAAAAATACATAACTTATGATCATGCAAATTTTTACACAGTGTTCTTATCCTAGGATGACAATAAGAAAAATATGAAATCTGTTATTTCACACTTTTCACTAGGTTAAACTATTTTTGCTAAAATAAGCATATGTAATTTGTCATTTTTGTAGTGGTTGATATACTTATCAAAATGGCATGAAATTTGTATAGTAGACTACTGAGGTCAGATGTAGACTATTGCAATTTTTTGAGAATTTATTGAGCATAGGTATATATTTATCCTTTAAATCACCTTATTATATAAGGAAATTAATAAATGAACATAAGTAAATTATTTGGGCTTAACCATGATGTTTTCTATGGTGCTTATGATGCATATGATCTGTTGATATTAGTAGTTGTGCTTAGAGTTGATTGGTTATAGGCAGCTACTTAATCATTGCTTTATAATTCAACTAGATGGCTGTAGGAGTAGTTTCTGTTGTGTTGACAAATTCATAATGATACTGACTTTTCGTGTTAAACAAGTTAATAACAAAGTTGTAGGAAACTTACTCATCTTGCTTGTACTAAATTTTTTTAGCTATAGGGTAAATAGTTTAAGATTTATAGCTGTTAGAAGTCTACTATCAGATTTGCTTGTCCTCTAGATAGATCTGGAAGATTGAATTGTTTGATCAAGATAGCTACTGAATCACCTTAAGATGATTAAAATAAAGTTGTATGAAATTTCATAAGCTTTCCAAAAAGTCCACAACCATATTGTTTGGGTGTGTATAACTCCAGTTATGGTCAAAACAAGTGGCTACTGTCTTGCAGCCCAGAAAATGTTTAAATAGGTGTTTGTTTAATTACTAGAGAGGAGAGTATGCACCTATTCAGTAAAAGAAAATTTATCATGTTATCACTTTAATACATTACTGTTAAGAACACTTATGAGTATGCATATTATCTTATCATATCATCCATGTCATTATCTATGCATCCATGATATCTTATTTCATACTCATACATATAGGATCGCCCGAAGGAGTAACCCTACTGGAATTCGAAGAAGAGATAGAGGAGAATCAGGAGACTCCACAACCAACAGCTCCCAAAGGCAAGGAGCTAGATACTGAGGAACTTCTGGTGTGCCCTGACCAGCAACCCACTTCTTTCCTAAAAGGCAAGCCCTGGAGCATTATAAGTCTCCTATGTTTTATAAAATATAACTTGAGTCCTTTATGTTTGATGCATTAGG